TTTTGCAGGGTTGACACGAGTTGAAGTTTTACGCGAACATCGGGTTATCTGACGCCATGTGTAAACTAAAACCAACGGGGCAAAGCCGGACGCGTAAATGAAACACTCGTCCGGTTTTTCTCTTATCTCGATTCAGTTATACGATCGTTTCTCCTCCACGTTTCGCTCTTTTCTTTTAAATCTCTGCAATTTAACGAAGGACGGATGTATAATGGAAATCAACACATGCCCACGTAACGATTACAGTCAATGTCGAGCAGAAGGTGTTAGTTAATGTGTGATTGCTCTGATTGTTTTGGAGCTTGATCCACTGTCTCACAGTCATTCAAGTCCAAAGACTTATTACTACTTGTTAAAACCGTAACCAATTGAATGAATCGTATTTTTTCAATGCTCCATTCATCAGGGAGAAAGGATTTTCATCTCGAGATTAGTTTTCGCAAAATATACATCAGAATGCATAACAAATAATGGAAATTCGGGGGAATTTTTTTTACGGTTCTCTGTTGTATTTATGATGACAAAAAAAGGTCTTGAATAAGATTCTCTCTCGCCGGGTTGGGAATATTGATCCAAAAGTTATCTATGAGTTGCTTCTGTCCCGTCCCATTTTATCACTTCCTCCTCAAAATAAATTATTGGCATTTCAGTGGAGCAATAAATGTTGCAAAAATCTGGGCAAATCGGGAAAAATTGATGCAAAGAAAAGAATTATTAAAAATTTATTGAAATCTGCGTATGCAGTGGCAGGTAATTGATATCATTATGTAATGTTATGTATATGGATTCTATTTCCTTCCGATGTACTCGGAATACCTGTATGTCAGAGATATGATCGACTGCGATTGCTCCATTGAAATTTCCTCAAGGATTAGTTGAGGCCGACAAATTTGTGAGTTATTTGTGATGAACAATATTGGCGCTAGTTTCAGGGGTTTATTCTCACACAGAAATAAAAATAAACACGAGTAAATTCGTTGCAGGGCTGTACTTACAGCATCGGAGTATTGCAGAGCCAAGGATGACGGCAGAAACTGCAGCGCCTTCTGTTCAAGGGGTCCAAACTGGTGTGATGGTGGGACAGAGTAATTCATTGAGTCAATCACATCAGCAGCAGATCACCAAAAATGTCAGCAATAGTAACAATTCGTCCTCCAATAGATCCTCAGGATCATCATCGTCTGGGGTCTCCAGTTCTTCGCTGAATTCGGGGGTTTATGACATTGAATATGCAAGAATGGAGGCCTGGCTGGATGAACATCCCGATTTTGTCAACGATTATTTTCTCAGGTAAATTGTGTAACTGGATAATCCATTTTTTATTAATAATTATGGCACTTGCTGAGAAAGCAGTTGTTTACTTCCAAATGAATTCTCCTGTTCGGCGCCCATTCCAATACTGTCTTCTTCTATTCCTTTGCTTTTCTTTCTATTTCTCCAAAATTTTTTCAATACTTAATACTGCTATTGAATGAAATGCTATCAATATTTTTGTTAATTAATTAGTTCTCACAAATGATAAAAAACACGAAAGATGGATCTGGAAAAAGTGGGAATGTATGAGATTTCAAGAGCAGTTTATATATTTCATATAAGAGGTCAAATTTTTCTTTAGATCAATTCCTGATAAACTGTAGAACTTCCTGGTCTATACCCTTTCCTTGGGAATTGATTAATATTCCAGTGTTTGACACTTGAAAAAGACACAATATGAAATATTCATAGATAAAAACGGTTGTAAAACAATGAATAAGTAATTTGAAAAAAAAAATGAAGAATTTAAATGAATGAAATAAAAGCTTGAATGACAAATGCTCGTCAGCTGTTAGTGATGACGTAAGTTGTCGATGTTGGCTTGATATCGACTTCCTGACTCAGCCCTGTCATCAGTCTCGCTCGCCTGCATCGCCTCGTTTTTCCCAATTGGCAATTGCTCATGCAAAAATCTTAAGAATGAATGCTCTTTATTTCTCCCCACCATTCACTCGCTGGTTTAACAATTTACATTTTTGTGCAGAAAAGTAACAAGACAAACGGTGGATGAGTGGCTGGTTACGCACGCAACACCGACCTCTTCATCGGGCAATTCCATGCTGGACATGTCGAATCAGAGTAATTCAGGGTGTAATAGTGGGTCAATGAATTCACCTGGGGGAAGAGGCAGTGGAGGCAGTGGAAATAGTGGGAGTGGTAATGGGGGTGGATCCGGTGCTACAACACCAGTCAGAAAAATTTCCGCTCATGAGTTTGAGAGGGGTGGATTACTTAAACCTATTGTTAATACTATCGATGGTACACCAACATTTTTGAGTATTTCGCCGGAGGATTCTGGTCAGCCTGGAGGTGGACAGCAGGTGGGACCTGGAGGAGCTAATCGACCGCAGAGAAGGTCGAGACATGAACTCAGACAACTCGACGAAAAGGATCTCATATTTGAATTGGTAAACAAACCCATTAATTTTCTTCCCCTAATCAGTTGCTGTTGAAACTATTTTTATACGGAAATCCTAGGATTGATCGCTTGCTTTCGGTGATTTTAACGTCAAAAATCAATTTATTCTATTGTTTGGAAAAGTATTATTTTGTTTATCCGAACGATTGCCGTATTATCACTATATTAAATGGATAAAATAATTAAAAACACCGGTTAGTTAGGAAGAATTTATTACTCTAATGGTAATATTAATCGGTTTATGAGCTTCGGAGCTCTTTATTCGTTAATAATTCTATAACCTACTTTTCACTTTTCACTCAAGTGCCATGCACTGTGTAAATTGTTAATTATTGCGGTAATCAGTGGAATTGGAAGTTCTCACAGGACCGGTTTTCCGAGACCGTCTTGTATCTATAAAAATAATCCCACGAGATTTTACTTTTATAACTTTTAATTAGGTGATGATTACATCCATCCACATGAATATCATACTTAATAGATATTTCGTGTCTAATTCAACTTATTTTTACCATTCGTTGATTGCCCACTCCTATGACATCAGCTCGTTACTTCATACTTCGAAGAAAAAAAATATTTATCGACGTTAAATACGATTATGAGGATAATTTACTCTGTCGAAAGATTGTTAAGAACTTACCGATTTCTGCGAATATTCGTGACTGCATTTAAGAAAACATTGCAGAAGTTTCAATAAATAAAATTCCTAACATTTTCTAAATTCAAAATTGTTGTCACAATTTTTCCAAGACTTACGATAAACCTTCAATCTAGTGTTTTTATCTTGACTATTTCCGTGGAATTTTTCTGAATCTCTTCTTTTCGGAATTACATGCAAATATTCTGCAGACCTTTATCTTTCCCGCGGCAACGAAAAGTTGAAGAAATTCTGTTCTGAAAAGAGAGACCTGGAGGTACTTTTGTCCATATACTCTTATTTACATTTATATACGAAATTTTTCCTTCCCTGCATAAAATAAAGCTTGCACCATGAAAATTTATCGCCGTGAAAAAGAAAAAAAAAATGAAAATCCCTTCCTTCCGAATATATTATCTACCTCATCGATACTTTCCAGGTCAAAGACATTTGCAACGAGTTGGACGTACGCTCCCTCTGTCACAAAATTCTCCAGAACGTGAGTACTCTCCTCCACGCCGACCGGGGCTCATTATTTCTCGTCCAGGGTGAACGCGCCTGCACCGGAAATACCACCCGACAACCACCAAACTCCAACAATTGTGATACTAAAAGGAATACAATGCAAAGTGAAAACCAAAATAGTCATACAACCGTGAATTGTACAAGAACAAGATGCCTCGTTTCTAAGCTGTTCGACGTTTGCTCGAGGTCTACACTCGTGGAGATGGAGAAGAAGGATGAAATTAAAATACCGTGGGGAACGGGAATCGTGGGATATGTTGCTGAGAGTGGAGAACCAGTGAATATACCTGATGCATATAAGGTAATAAAATTCATCAGTTACACTCATTAAATTCATTTTCCAATGAATTCATCATATTCATCCACTAGAAAAATACCATAATTTTATGAAACGAAAATTCAATTGCATTGCAGTCTTGGAAATTAATTGTCACAGGTGAATTCATTTTTTTAAAGAATTTTTTTGGTAAGAAACATTAAGAAATTTTTTTTGTGAAATCGGAAAATCGATAGATTTATATCGGCTTATTCTAAAATTTAATTTAACCAAGAATGATTCTCGATTGTTTAGATTTTTTCAGTAATCTTAATCCATTTGGAAATGTATCATTAATTTATTAGCGAAGAAATGAGAATGTAAAAGAACTGATGGCAATATTCCATTAGTTTTTAATCTGATAGTAGACTTTTTAGTCATGTCTTTCAAGGAAGGCACTTGACAATTCATTAGAGTAATTCTTTTGTAGGACGGAAGATTTAATCGTGAGATAGATGCTCTAACTGGGTATAGAACACGAGCGCTTCTCTGCATGCCTATTAAGGACTGCAGTGGTGACGTGATTGGTGTTGCCCAAGTTATCAATAAACTTGGTGGTGAAGCACAGTTCACAACTCAAGATGAAAAAATCTTCGCTAGTTACCTTCAGTTTTGTGGTATTGGACTTAGAAATGCTCAGCTGTACGAGAAAAGTCAGCTGGAGGTCAAGAGAAACCAGGTGAAGATATAAGAAGTTGTTTGACTCTTGTCATTAATTATCTTTTTACAATCCAATTATTTGTTCTTTCCTTCAATTTTTGTGCTCAAGGTCCTCTTAGACTTGGCTAGGATGATTTTTGAAGAGCAAAGCACGATAGAGCACATGGTGTACAGAATTTTGACGCACACGCAGTCACTTATTCAGTGTCAACGTGTTCAGGTGAGTGCCGAGAATTGCAGTTGAGAGGTGAAACTTGTAATTAAAGAGTGACGCTTTTACGATTCGAGTGCTAAGTGATGTCATCAGAAACATCGAGGCTCATTACGAGACTGCGTATTCATGCGGTCTTTATGAATATTTATTTTTACTGCAGGTACTTCTCGTCCATAAAGCGTCAAAGGGCAGTTTCTCCAGAGTTTTTGATTTTGAAGCTAATGATCTCACTGTGGAAGATACTGACTCACGAACGAGGTGAATATTATTGATCGTTTCAGTTTTTCTGTAACTTTTTTTTTTTCTATTTTGTGCTGGATTTATCCAGATTTATTTATCCTCTTTTATTCCGGAAAGGCATAAAAAGAAGAGAGTATCCATTTTATTTATGACGGATCATTAAAAATTTCCTTTTAGCCCGTTCGAGAGCAGATTTCCAATGAATGTTGGAATAACTGGATACGTAGCAACAACAGGCGAGGTAAGTGTCGCCTAATGAATATTTCATCCTTTTGAATTCAACAAAATGAAGTGTTTTAAAAATCTAAATGATCACGCAATTTTTTGATTAAATCTCAATCATCTCAATCTCATTGCTTTGTTGTTCAGCGGAATATAGAGAAGTGTGTGATGATTCCAGACAGTATCAATTCCAAATGCATACGAGGATCCACGATTCGATGCATCAGTTGACGAGGGCACTGGGTTTCGGCACAAAACTATTTTATGTATGCCGATTAAAAATTCATCGGGACAGATTATTGGGGTCATTCAGTTGGTGAATAAGTTTGACGATTTGGTATTTACGAAGAATGACGAGAACTTTGTCGAGGCGTTCGCTATTTTTTGCGGAATGGGAATTCATAATACACACATGTAAGAATTTATTAGATGGCATTTTGAAAAAATAATGAAAAATTTTTACTAATAGATGAAAATTTCAATTTAACCTTCTCCAGGTATGAGAGGGCGATAATAGCAATGGCCAAACAAAGTGTTACTTTGGATGTATTGAGTTATCACGCCTCAGCCTCTCTGGAGGACGCACAAAAGTTGAGGGTGAGTGGAATCGATAAATCCATTGATAATCCAATTAATTCTGTATTGAAGTGCCGATTCCTTTGCTCAGTTCATGTGATATTTTAATCGTGTAATTATCAGAAGTGAGATAAATTGAATATAATCAATATAATATCAAAATAATAATGAATTTTGAAGTGGTACAAGTCGACTTACTATATCTTTTGACTTCAATACAGAATAATCAAAAGGGAAAAAAATAACAATGTAAGTATTTTCATTTCCCTGCGTCTCAGCAGGCCTTAAGGGTACCCTCGTCAGCTTATCTTGAGCTTCACGATTTCAAATTTGATGACATCCAGATGAAGGATAATGAAACTCTCACCGCTTGCTTAAGAATGTTCTTAGATCTTGACTTCGTTGAAAGATTTCACATTGACTATGAAGTCCTCTGCCGATGGCTGCTGAGCGTTAAAAAAAATTATCGTAACGTTATTTATCATAATTGGAGACATGCATTTAATGTTGCACAGATGATGTTCGCAATTTTAACAGTGAGTAATTGATAACGCTAATATGAAAGGAAATAAATAATATCAATGAACGCTTATCTCATTGTAGGCAACACAGTGGTGGAAAATTTTCGGGGAGATTGAGTGCTTAGCCCTAATGATCGCCTGCCTTTGTCATGATCTCGATCACCGAGGGACGAACAATTCTTTTCAAATAAAGTAAGCAAGGAGTCTTTAATAATTTTGTAAATCTTCGTACAAAATGTTGATTTTTTTTGCAATTTTCAACTAATGATTTTGTTGAGAATCTATTAATTTCCGTCATCAACTCACATCACATCAATCTGTTCACGCAGAGAAGACATAACCCGGGGGAATTATGTATTTCTCTACTGCAGAATTCTAATTACAATGGCATTAACTTAATTATGTGCTTCAGAAAGGGCTAAATCAATGCCTTCCACAAGAGAGCACGACCTCAGCTGAAATTTCCAAGGCACCAGATGAACTCGTACTAAATTCTGCACAGGCATGCCAGCTGTTATTCACAATAACCTTTTTTAACGTTTTGCTTAA